ATTAGTAGCACGTGCCAACTCAGTTGGGACATGCAATGTGCGTGGTAAAAGGATCTATCAATTTACAAGTTATTGGTTAGTTTTTGTGGATGATAATTATTATACTTATCTGCATACAGGATTATAAGAGCTTCATTGATTAAGATGTGATGAGGAAATTATTCACCGACAAATTAAGTACCTTTGAGTTCAAATATTTGTGAGTTTTTAAGCATTTTTGTTAGTTTGATATATTTTTGTGTATTTTTATAGGAATTATTAATAAATGGGAAATTAGGTAAAAACAATGAAAAAATTAGAGTTTTAGAAGCTAACGGGATGAGCAACGGACAAGGTCAAGGACCCGCATAAATCATGTGCAAAACGGGGCAAAAAACGCCCAAGAGCAGCTTTGGGCAGGGGCTGGTGCGCATCTGCGCGCGCCTTACAGCAGGCCAGGCGCTGCAGTGCGCACTGTGCGTCCGCACCTTTGGGCCTTTTTTTGGCCCTTGATCATTTTGGATGGCCATTTTTTATCCTTGGATGAGTTTAGATGATGTTATTCTTCAATTTTGGGCATACTTAAAGAAGAGAAACCCTAGTTTCTAACTTGGAGAGAACGGGAGGCACAAAAATTCATAGAGAGAGAAGCTTGGAGTTGGAGATTTTTGAAGAATTCTTGGGAGCGATTCTTGAAGATTTGAAGACTTAAAGCTCATCTCTACAAGAGTTTTCTCTTCCTTCTTCCCTTTTTCCTTTTCTTTGTAGTTTTTTAATATTTGTTCTTAAATTTGTGATTTTGATTATAGATTCCTCTATATTGAGCTAGATTATTATTCAAGGGCTTGATGTAGCTTTATTTGAACCATGTTTTGATTAACTTATCAATTGTTAGTTAGATACCATCTTAATTTATTTATGTTTCTCTATGCTTAATGTTTCTAATTTATGTGGCCAATGAGTTAGATTATTTTACATTATGATTTTGATGCTCGAGAGAGATTGATTTTAGAGTCCGGAATTGGAAAAATTAATTTTATAGTCCAGAATTGGAAAATATAGTCTAGGTTGTTGTGAATCTGGGAGGAGATCGACACTTAGATAATCTCATTGACAGTTTAGGATATTGTGAGACCGGGAGGTGATCAAGTCTTAGATTATCAACTAGGATTTCTATTGTTGTGAGGCTGGGAGGTGATCGGCATTTGATTTCTAATTTAAAGGCTAAACTTAATGAGTGAATGAGTAAACATGTTAGGTAGGAATATTGATTCGGGTATTCATATTTATGACTTCGTTTGACGCTCGGGGGAGGTAACGAGGTTAGATTAGGTCTCTTGATTAATGAATTGACTGGAATTGGCTAGCAATGGTTAGATAGGATGAACATCAGAATGATAAAATGAAGTCAAGTCCATAGTACATTTGTGCATAGAAGTTTCCATATTTTATTTTATTTTTTGTATTTATATTTGTTCTAGTTCTATTTTTATTTTATTGAGTTCGATTGCCTAAATAAAGTTGAGTTACAATAATCGTGGTACAATTTAACACTCAATTTCTATAGAAACGATACTCACTCATTCTATATTATAAAAACTTGACACTCTACGCTTGCTGATGAACGAGATGCTTACCATGACAATTGTCACGTTAAATTATAACGGAAGAGACATATTTACTTCCTATGGATTTTATTTTTTAAGCCTTTTGGTGAAAAGAAAAATAATAGTATGCTTCAAATTTTAAGTTCTTCTATAATTCATCATTTTGACGACAAGCTGACCTAGAACTCTCAAAAAACAGAGGATAAACAGATATGGGCTTCTTCAAACCAAATATCGTAGAGAAATTCTCATTTTAGAGCAAAGCTCAAAAAAAAAAAAAAAAAAAAATCTAAGAATGAATGTCTTTTAAGACTACTACACTGAACATGTTATCTAGAAAAAACAACATGAAAATCTTTAGAGACAAATGACACATCCGACTAAAGTTAAAGGACTGAAAGTAATAGTGAAGGAAATACAAATGATAAAAATGCAAACTTGACATAACATCGGCACTGCAAAACAAAATAGCATATAAATATCAGTAACATTTGCAATGCCCCTGCATCAGAAGCATTAACGAATGCGTTAGATGTTCATTTGCTTGCGGGCGAATATAGTAAATAGTAGATTTATAAAATTATATTAAGTAAATAGCATATTTAATAAGTAGACACAAAATTTTAATGATTTATAAAGCTCTAATTATTAAGAGTGTGTTTAGTTATAGTGAGAAAATAGTAATGGTAATAGTAGTGAGAATAAGAATGATACTGGTAATAGAATAAAAAAGAAAATTGATTCATTTATTTAGTTGTAATTTTATGAATACTATATAATAGAATATGAATATTTTCATATTGATAAAATTACCCTTATATTACATATAAAACTAATATATTATATATAAATATAATATATAAAATGTAATATAATAGAATAAAATTAT